ATATTATTATTATTTGGAACAGTCTTAGCCTGAATTTTCAGCTATCTCTTTGAGTCACAAACTCCCGTGGAAGACTATGAGGATGAGATTGATGATAGATGCATGTAAAATACAAATATAAAACTGAGAGGTTACAACTTAAAATACGTAATCTGAAAAGTGATACATTCCTCTCAAAATCAAAGGGAAAATTATCAATATTCCTGTAGCAAAGGCGGAAGAGGACGCCCCAACCTTATCAAATGTTATGATTTTGCCTTTCTCATTGGCAGAAAAAGCGTTCACCTGTGGTGAAGCAGTGATTTACCGTGAGTATGCAAGCGAGCTAGACCTAGGCATTAAGAAAAGTGATGACTGCCGCTGTATATACCCCTTCATCTTTCAAATAAGAAGTACAACAGTGCCTCTGACAGAGAACGATACAAGGTATATAGACAGCATAAGAACTAGTCATTCATTTTGAACATTTAGAAACGGTGAGAAAGGCTCTTGCAGACCATGAAGAACTATACAGTGAAACTAAAGCCGATATTATTACCCCGGACCATTTAACTACAAGTAATTTCAAGACTGCTATGAAGCAAAACTCACACAAAATTGCTAAGATCATCAAAGAATTAGTAACAGGATAATAATAATAATAATAACAGGATTTGAAGGCATGCCCTTAAAGGAAGCTATTGATTACGTTGAATCAAAAAGTGGATACGGTATAGCTTCAATGATGTCTCTCAACTGTGTTGCATGTTGCTGCACCATGTGGTGCAGAGGTGAATAGCAGAGAAGGGTGTGGAGTTACACCCTTACATTTGGCAGTTTTTCACAGGCTTATTGAAGTAGTAAGGACTTTAGTTCAATATGATGCAAACCCTTCTGGCTTCAGGAACATTTCCTGGGAATATCCTATCGCCTTTATACAAGCCGCCCTATAGCAAGACACGCCTTTGGGAATTGTCAAGCTTCTACCGACAAGTTAACTGAAATAAAGTCGCAAACTGCACTTCTTGCCCAAGAAATCCTCACAGGAACTAAAGGCATGAATGCTGATACAAATACTACCGAAACAGGTAGACTGTTTTTTCGCAGACGCGCGAAACAGTTGCCTCTGCAGAGAAACATATTTGAATTAAGCCCATGTGATCTATCCTTGACGCCTTAAATGTAAGCACACGTGATCGCATTCCTTCACATTCCTGAGAATTAAACGATGGCGGGCTTCTCCATAAACAAACACCACAATTAGGAATAAACTGTAAACACTGTAATTTATTCCTTACGAATCGCATGAGATCATCGAATGTAGACACCTCATTTTCGTCCGCTGTAATTAGTTCGCATCGATCTTCCGGAAAAGAAATATTATAGAACACTTTTAGCTGGATCATGTTGTATTACTAAACGAAAGCGGATAAGCGAAGATAGACAGCCAAAGCGCGAGCAAAGAAATGCGAAGGAATGTTATCACGTGCGTTTGCCTTTGGTGATAAAATCTCTTTAGACACGTGACCAAAAACGATCACCTTTGTCCCTAACAGCAACTATTACCTACGTCTGCGAAAAAACAGTCTACGTGTTTCGGTAGTAATATATTAAATCACAACTCTGAAATTGGCAACCCCGATCAAGAAATCAATCACAGTGTCCGCAATATGGTGGGTGCAAGAGATAGTGTTATTGCTGTAGGAGATATGAAAACCATCACTACAACGTATGGCGTTCGAAATAGATGCCCTGATGAGTTTGGAAGTTTCAGTGAGACACCCGGAGACTTCCACACTATCGGCTATTCCATGGAAGTTACCTCACGTCTATATGAATCAAGTGGTTTCTTTTATGTTATTGGACCTATTTTGTTTTATTTATATTTATTTTATTTTATTATTTTGCCACACAGAATAAATTACGTGTAGAATAGAAAAGATAATAAATAGTTAAGTAATATTAAATGTTAAATGAGCATACAACTCGGAAGGAGTGACTGTGGCGGGGAAATCTCCGAAAAGCAGAGCTTATGAGGAATAGAGATTTTTCCCACAGGCAATTTAAATACTAGGTGGCATTTAAAAATAAAGAAAAAAGACGTGTATTTTAAGTATATAAGTGTACTTAAGGAAAAATATAGATATAGGCTGTTAAGGTATTTAGGTTGTATCTTGTCTGATCCTTAAAAATGGTTTGATCACACGCTTTCATATATTAAAAGTCAGGGCGTTTTTGATGTTGCTCGGTGATGAATTCCATATTCTAGGACCTTGAAACAGGATCGAAGATTTTTTGATATTTGTTAGGAATGAGGTCGGTAAAATTCAGAGTATCTTGTTGAATATTGATTAATCTGATTTCCAGTTTGAAAGATTTGAGTAAAAGCAATAGGTTAAGCGTCACTATAATATAGGTACATGAAAAAACTTACGTGGAGCGAGTAGATACTAAAAACATCAAGAATTTTCAAATTTGCAAAAAGAGGTTTACTAGAAGCCTTGTAGTCAGCCTTAGAGATCGCCCGGACTGCTCTTTTCTGTAGTAGGTAAATTCATTGCAGGTTGGTGACATAAGTAGAGGCCCAAATTAAATTGCAGTAAGTAAGATATGGATAAACAAGGGCATAGTATAGTATAAGAAGAGATTTTGAGGGCAAATAGTATTTAGCTTTGTAAAGTAACCCGACAGATTTAGAAATCTTAGCCGCAATAAAATTAACATGAGTTTTCCACGTAAGGTGCTGATCAATATAAACTCCGAGAAACTTAATATTATCTACTTGTTTAAGTACATCATTCTGTATAGTAATCTGCCTTGTGATAGGTAGCGGTTTTTGCCTTGGTCTGAAAATCATTCGTTTTGTTTTCTTAACGTTGATTGATAACTTATTGGCTTTTGGCTAAGTTGACACATTGTGGAGCTGGTCGTTGAGATGGGAGGTAAGTACATCCAGGTCATTATCTTGAAAAAAATATACTGGTGTCATCAACAAATGATATGAATTCGCTTTCATCAGAACTAGAGCAGGCTGGGAGATCATTGATATAAATAATAAGGAAGAGGAGGCCTAGTATAAAGCCTTGCGGTACGCCACAAATTTGTCTTAAAGCATCGGATTTAGAAACGTCAATTTGGACATATTGTATTCTAGTACGAAATTAGTCAGTTATCCATTG